CTCTCCTCCATCTGCGCAACTCCTTTCTTCACAGCGAGCCGTTCCTTCGCTGCTTGAACGTTTTCCGCTGCCTCCGCATGTGGACTTTTCTAACCCCTCTAGTCCGTAGGAACCCTTACCTGCAGATTTCAAGTATCTTTTTCATTGCCAATCATGGCCTATTTACAGTGGAATATACGCGGCCTCAGGGGTAATCGGGGTGAGCTTCATATATTACTCTCCCAGTTTTCCCCTGTTGGTGTTTGCTTAAAGGAACCAAAATTACACTCTGCTGTTCTCTCTCCCATCTCAGGCTATAATTTATTGTATTCTTCAGATCCTTTTCCTGATGGGACCTTTAATGAAAGTGCCCTTCTTCTATGCACTGATATTCCGTACCATCAGCTATTTGTTCGTACTTTGCTGCATTACACAGCAGCCCGTATCCACTTGCATAGGTGGTATACGCTCTGTTCTTTATATATATCTCCTTCTCGGGCATTATCTATTCTGGATATTGCCTTTCTTGTTTCGTCATTACCACCACCGATTCTGTTACTTGGCGATTTTAATGCCCATCATTTCCTCTGGGGGGGGGGTCTCACTGTGATTCCCGTGACATTCAGTTAGAGGCTTTTCTTGCTACCCACCCCTCCATGTTTTAAATACAGGTACTCACACCCATTTTGATCTTCGGACTCACACACTCTCTTGCATCGATCTCTCAGTCTGCTCTTCCTCCGCCGCATTAGACTTCACCCGGTCTGTTCTCCCGGATTTACATGACAGCGATCATTTCCCAATCATTCTTACTTCCCCTTCATATTCACCACCTCTTCGTATCCCACGCTGGCAATTTGATCAGGCAAATTGGAACCTTTACTCACAACTAACTGTTTTTAGTGAGGTTCCTTCTTCGTCCTCCATTGATGAGCTTTTACAACTCTTCTCGTCCTCCATTTTAACCGCAGCTTCTCATTCTATACCCCTAACTTCGGGCAGACATTCTCAGAAATGCGTGCCTTGGTGGTCTACTGCTTGTGCTCATGCAGTACGTTTGAAATGCACTGCATGGGGCAGGTACCGGTACAATAAAACCACGGAGAGACTTCTTGATTTTTAAGCAGAAGCGTGTGATCACTCGCCGTGTCATCCGTGACACTAAACGCACTTGCTGGCGAGATTGTCTCCACCATCACCTCTGCTTCCTCTATGAGTGCAGTCTGGAAAAAAGTACGAAAACTGAGTGGTAAATATTCTGACCCGGCTCCTGTTCTGCGGGTTGCCGGCGTTGATATTGCAAACCCACTAGATGTTGCCAATGTAATTGGCAATCATCTGGTCCGTATTTCTCAGGGGCTCCATCTATGCCCCTCGTTTCTTTCCTCAAAGTCTACCAGAGAGTTAGCACCCTTGGACTTTTCTTCTCTCAGAGAAGAACATTATAATGTGCCTTTTACACTTCAAGAACTGGGGGCAACACACTCAGCTTGCCGATCATCGGCAGCTGGGCCCGACAACATTCATATTCGTATGCTACAACATTTACATCAGTCAGCCCTTGCAGTCCTATTACGCCTTTTCAATCTTATTTGGTCACAAGGAGTTCTTCCACAGCTGTGGAAATCTGCCCTTGTTCTCCCTTTCCGCAAACCAGGCACTACGGGACATGAAGCCTCCCACTATCATCCCATTGCTCTTACCAGTGCAGTTTGCAAAGTGATGGAACGCTTGGTAAATAGACATTTAGTGTGGTATTTAGAGACACACAACAGTCTCTCCACTTGTCAATATGGCTTTCGTAAGGGACGTTCTACCATAGACCCCTTACTACGCTTTGATACGTATGTTCGTAATGCCTTTGCGAATAACCACTCAGTTATTGCCATATTTTTTGACCTTGAGAAGGCATATGACACAACTTGGAGGTATAATATTTTGGCCCAAGCCCACTCCTTAGGCCTCCGAGGCAATCTACCATCCTTCCTTAAGAACTTTTAACTGATAGAGATTTCCCTGTTCGGGTTAATAATGTGCTCTCCCCGGACTTTATCCAAGCTGAAGGTGTCCCCCAGGGATGTGTTCTGAGCACAACACTTTTTCTCCTTGCTATTAATGATTTGGCCTCTAGTCTTCCATCAAATATTTGGTCATCACTCTATGTTGATGACTTTGCTATTGCCTGTGCAGGCGCTGACTGTCACCTCATTACAGTTTCTCTCCAACATGCGGTCGACCGTGTTTCCAATTGGGCCACCACACATGGGTTTAAATTTTCCAGCACTAAAACCCACCAAATTACTTTCACTAGATGCTCTGTCATCTCTGATCATCCTTTGTACCTCTATGGCTCCCGTATCCCTGAACGTGATACAATCAAGTTTCTGGGCTTCCTCTTTGACCGTAGGTTATCCTGGAAACCTCACATTACCTCTCTGAAGGCAACTTGTCACAGCCGGCAGAATCTTCTTAAAACCCTTGCTCATCTTTCGTGGGGAGCTGATCGTCGAACTCTCCTTCACCTACATTCCACCCTCATTTTATTGAAGCTTGATTATGGTGACCAGATCTATTCAGCGGCATCTCCTGCTACTCTCTCTAGCCTTAACCCCATTCATCACCAAGGATTACGTTTATGCCTTGGTGCTTTTCGCTCTTCCCCTGTTGAGAGCCTCTATGCAGAAGCGAATGTTCCATCCTTACCCGATCACCGTGATGCCCATTGCCTTCGCTACTATGTACGCTCTCATGATCTCCACAATCCTTCCATTTATAGAATGGTCACTGATATTAGTAGACATTCTTTATTTGTTCGCCGCCCCTGTTTACTCCATCCCTTCTCTCTTCGCCTTCATTCGCTCTTGTCTTCTCTTCAATTACCACCTTTCTATGTTCATTTAGCATCTCACTTTTCCCTAATCCCCTGGGAAGTTCCAGCTGTTCGAGTCTGTTCTTTCTCTCTCCCTTGCTTGAAAGCCCAACTGTCTACGGTCGCTTCCCGCTCTCTTTTTCTTGACCACTTCCACTCTCATTCTCATGCCATTGCTGTGTACACAGATGGCTCTAAGTCTTCTGACGGCGTAGGATTCGCAGCAGTGTTTCCAGACAGCATCGTACGAGGGCATTTACTATCTTCGGCTAGTATTTTTACTGCTGAATTGTATGCCATCCTTGCAGCACTTATCCGTATTGCATCTATGCCTGTGTCATCATTTGTGGTTGTCTCAGACTCCCTTAGTGCTTTACAGGCTATACAGAAATTTGATACACCTCACCCCTTAGTCCTTCGTATCCAACTTTGGCTACACTGCATCTTTGCCAAGCATAAAGATATTGTTTTTTGTTGGGTCCCTGGTCATGTTGATGTACAGGGCAATGAACAGGCAGACACTGCTGCGCAGTCAGCAGTACATGACCTACCAGTTTCATATAGAGGTATTCCATTTACAGACTATTTTGCTGCAATAGCTACCCACCTTCACACCCGTTGGCAACAACGTTGGTCTACTATGCTCGGTAACAAACTTCAATCTATTAAACCGAGTGTTGGTTACTGGCCGTCTTCTTGTCACCAGTGTCGAGGTTGGGAGACTACTCTCTCCTGTCTTCGCATTGGCCATACTCGTCTTTCTCATGGATATGTCGTGGAGAGGCACCCTGCTCCTCTCTGTGAGAATTGTCAGGCTCCATTATCAGGCAGCCACATTCTGTTGGACTGCCCACTTTATCAACGAGCACGCAGAATTTACGTCCGTCGTCGTCTTTGCTCCGCTGCTCTCTCTTTACCTTCCCTTCTCGCTGATGGACCCACCTTTCATCTGGACTCTCTCATTGACTTTTTTGACAACAACTGACTGACTTCACAAATTCTGATACCTTCAGCCCTTTCTACCTCAATCTCTTGCTACCCTCTACCCCCATACTATCCCCTGCCCCGCTGTTTTCTGTAACCTACTGATCATCCCTCCTCCCTTCTGCCACCCAATACCCTCGCTTCCTTTCCTACCCTGCAGCGCTGTATAGCCCTTGTGGCTTAGCGCTTCTTTTTGATTATAATGATAATGGGCTGAAAGTGGACAAAAGTGCCAGTGTGTAAATTACACTAAAACTGTTAACTTTGTGCCTGTATAATTTCCTAAGTTATCCACTAAATTCCTTACTATTTCAAATGATTGTTTTCTAAAGTCATGATATTTTCAGCACTTTAATTTCAGTGGTGATAACATTGAAGAGGTTAGATTTCTGTAATTTTTGGTGATGACAGGGACAATCTATCATCTTGCTACCCAATCTATTTTCTTTTACAAGCAGTGATGAATATATTTACATAAGAAATGAGATTTTGTCTGGCTGTGGAGTCATCACTACATTTCATGAAGCCTCATATATAGCGATTAATTTTACTAGTTTAACAACTGTTGTATGAGCATATTAATGATTTCTTTGAGTTTACAGAGGTATTGTTTGAAAGTAGCATACGTATCGGCAATTTTTATTAATAACGTGCTAGTTATTGTAGCTAATCAAAGTAGGTTTTACTTTGTTGTGTAGTGTAGATATACATAGCTTAAGTTATTTAATTTACTTATCGAGATAGATATACACCTACCATCCGACTTACGACCTGCTCGACATGCGACCACTCAACTTACGACCGTGTTTTTTATGCCAAATTTCTGGGAAATAAACAACTATTTGTGTTGTACACAGTGTTTATCCTAAACCTTACAGTATAAAATACAGTATTAACAACATAAAAAGTAAAGTAAAACATGAAATACCAAAATAAAACAATAAAATAAAGTCATTACAAAAATGTTTTGTTGATATTCAGTAGTAAAGTTCGACTTACGACCATTTCGACTTACGACCGGTTTCTCGGAACCGAACTCGGTCTTAAGTCGGATGGTAGGTGTAGTTTGATTTATTTAATTTACTTATTGAAACTCTTTTTTTACAAGGAAAATCCTGTAATGTTAGCTAGCAAACTAATGCTCTTCTCATTTCATTTATTTTGGCAGGGAGGGTTGCATGCCGAGAAGGTGAGATATGGAAACCTCTTGCTATGCTTGATTTTATTTGTGAAAATATCCCTAATCATTTGATATACTTTGCTTTTCTTTATATGTGCTTAATTTACCAGTTTTTTTTTTTTATATATATATTTTTTGACAATAGAATTGGGGATTTCAGAGCTGTGTTGTAAATTCACCAAAGTTTGCCCTTATCATCTCTGTAGAACAATGATGATAACCCATGATAGGTTATTATAAATAAATTTAATGTAACCTGTGATAGCTTAGAGTTACTTGCACAATGTAAAACAAAATTGTTTTTTATGAATAAATCTCATTTATTAGCACGAGTATCAACAGATGTAAAACAACCTGAGAAATGAGTCACTTGTGAATTTTCTAAATCATTTACATCATAAAACACTAACACAAATGTATCTTTTTAGAAAATAATTTTTTTATTTGATTTCATTATATTTGTTTTGAAGCTACTCAGGTCATCTAAAACTCAAACTAGATAACACATAACAAGTGCTTTCTAGTACTCTATACATATTATTACAACACAGGTCTGAAAACTTAACCAATACGTTATATAGCTTCTGCATTAACTAACCCTTCATAAGAACTTATTTGAGAGAGAGAGAATATATGCACATGCACACAATTCTTTTAATTGTGTATTTGAGATTCTATATTTGAGCTTGCAGAGAGTGAGCTTTAGCTCCTGGCCCCTCTTGTTTTTTGAACAAGTAATATTAAATATGTTACATATGTCGACAAGTTGAAGATTAAGATACGAGCAGCAGTTGGGTATCTTTACTGTTGAAATGTTTCACCTACACAGTAGGCTTCTTCAGGTAAATACTGAGGCAACAGGTGTAGTAGTGAAATGAAGATTATGTAATCAGTCCATCAACTTTGGAGAAAAAGTATTTGAGGTGGTCAGTCCCTTAGCCTGGAGAAAAGTTGAGTTCCATGGTCTGGAATGATCATTCCAGATCATGGAGCTCAACCCAATGGTCTGGAGCTCAACTGCAGACCACTACTACATATGTTGCCTCTGTATTTGACTGAAGAGGCCTACTGTGTGGGCAAAACATTTCATCAATAAAGATACCCAACAGTTTCATGTCTTAAGCTTCAACATTTAATATCTTAATCATGTTTTCTGTTAAGTCTTTATATGGATTCAGTTGTCTCTGAGCTATTAATGCGACAATTTTGTTTGATGATTCCTGAAGCTCCAATCCTGGTTGAGTTGTGTGTCACCAGCGATGAACTTTTACCCCCTTTTTACTGCACTTTTTTGTTCTCTTACATTAATTCTGCACCAAGATAACTCAGTTTCTTCACATAAATGTGACCACGGAATGTCAAATGTATCATCATTACCAAAACCTTGTGTCTATGCCAGAGGTTGCTCTAGTTCTCGTTGTCCATTACTGTACAATACAACTGAACCTGCAGCGCTTGAATTGTATCTTTTTAATTATATTTAAATTTCTCAATTTTCCATTGTGTTATTCTTGTTTTGGAATTATTCACTAATTTATTGGATTCTTTGCACTTATATTATTCCCCATGAAATCTGAAAATCCTTGTGTTTTTTGTGGATGGGAACAAAAACAAAGGTATGAGATTATTACTTGCAGGTACCTAATGTGAGCATGTGTGGGTGTTTTCTTGACCTAATAAAATTAGTTTAATTCTTCATTATAGTACGTTGGCATAGAAATGTACAGTACATTAGTAAATTCTCAGAAGAGTACTGCAGTTTACTTAGAATTCTGCTAAAGCTTTCTTGTATAAAGAAGACACAAGGTAGTGGATGAGGAACTTATTTTCTAGGCATTTCCTGAAAATTTCACCACACATTGCACGTGTCTTCTATATACATCTTTTGTTATGCATTTCCTCGTGTGATTTACATGCAGCTTCCTTCACTTTTTTTCCATTATTATTGCACAGCTCTGTCTCCTCTTTAATAGTATGTAAATTATTTGACAAATTACTCACTGTTGTTAGTTAATGATTATGTAGAAGTTATTTAGTGTTTCACTCTGATTTTTGAATAAGCATTATAAATTATTTTCTGCTTCTAGTTGAATTATTATTGTGAATCTAGAGAATACCCATTATTTCTAAAATTGTTGTTGTGCATTTAGTATACAGCCTCTCCTCACTTAACGACATATTTGTTTAGCGACAACTCGGACTTATGACAGGCTCTCTCACCAGTATGCATACTTAAATAATGTATATTAGAGATCCTCTCTTCTGTGTGTGGCTTATTTGTGTATATTAGAGCTGATTTCTTCAATTCTGTTTATTACAGTATACGTACAGTACACTACTGTATAAACATTTAAAAATATGCCAGAAATGTTAAAAATGGTGCAAAGGTGACACTAAAACAATATCATAGATAGTTGACACAAGCCCACTACCATTATAATATGCTCCTCACTTTGTGATGATTTCATTTACCAGTGTGGTCTTAGGAACGGAGCTCCGTCATTAAGTGTGGAGAGGCTGTATTCCCTTTACTTCTGGGATCATTATTGTGAAAATAGTCTATTCCTATTATATTTTGGAGTATTACCTTTAATCAGCTGCCATTTATTGTGGCAATTATTATTCATTATACATCACACTCACCTGATAGTGAAATCATTGTACGTAATTCCATTTCTTATTAGTGTAAGCATACTAAATATTGTTCAGTACTGGCCTCCAGTGTTTGGGTAAAAATCACATAGTATAACTTCTTGCAGACAGTGGTCACTATTCCAGTAATTCATAGATAAATATTTTTCAGCACCTCTTATTGGTGCATATGCAATTATAGTACTGGTCCACCATCGCAAATCTGGTAATCAGTTATTTGGCACTAATTTTGGCTAGCATAATTTCAAATTTCCAGGGTTGCCACACCAACCTGCTGGTACTGTTTGGTGGCACTACTTGCTGCATAAGTCATTCCAGTTCCTTTTTCTCCATTTATTGTTATAACCTGCTTACTTTTAGCCCTAGCCATGGTTCCAACAAATTAAAGAAATACTTCTCGTTGTGTAAAGCACGTACAGTGGACCCTCCATTTTCGTTGATCTCTGTTATCGCTGATTTCGGTTTTGGCTGACTTTTTTTGTCAATTTTTTGTTTCTGGTTTTGTTCATTACCTCTGTTTTCATCGATCGTATGGAACCTGTCCAGTGCCCAGCGCGCAGACAAAGCCGCCTCCCACACGCATTCTCAGCCAGTGTAGCGTTGTTTCACGGTGAGTGATGGTGGTAGAGGGTGCCTTCTTCAGTGATTCAGCGATTCTGCTAACTCCTGCAATGTTGTTGGAATTATGTAGGGCTACAGAAAACACTGCTGCCTTAAATGCAGCCTTCACCAACATTATGTTTAGCTTATGCTCACAGTGGCCCTTATACACCCAACAACAACAACAACAGAACACCTGTCATTACATACATAATGACTTATTTGATTCATTCTAGAGTATATGTCATGTTTCTATGTTATTAATATTGTTCATTATGTCATGTTAGTTGAATTGTGATCAATAAATAAGACGTAGAGTTGATATTAGTGTCATATTCTCCAACAATGAACTTGCCTCCCTCTCCCCTTTGCCCGGTCTGCCATACACTAACAAGTCTTTTCAATAAAGGTAAGTGTGATGTTAAATGTTCATTTATACATTTTATTAGTGCTTTATATTTATTTGTACGTCTTGCTGCTACTACTTACACTTAGGTCACACTAAACATACATGTATATGTTTATTTATACACACTCATCTAAGTTTTCTTTGATTTTATCTTACTTCTTGTTCTAATTACTTTTCCTTTTATATCCATGGAGAAGTGGAATAAGAATCTTTCTTCCGTAAGCCATGTGCGTTGTAAAAGTCAACTAAAATGCCGGGAACAATGGGCTAGTAACCCCTTTTCCTGTAAAAATTACTAAAAAGAATAAGAAGAAAATTGTCAAAGTGGGAAGTTTGAATGTGCGTGGATGTTGTGCGAATGATAAGAAAGAGATGATTATGGATGTTATGAATGAGAAGAAGCTGGATATCCTGGCTTTAAGTGAAACAAAGCTGAAAGGGGGTGGGTGAGTTTCAGTGGAGAGGAATAAATGGGATTAGGTCAAGGGTTTCTAATAGAGTTAGAGCTAAAGAAGGAGTAGCAATAATGTTGAAGAATAAGCTATGGCAGGAAAAGAGGGACTATAAATGTATTAATTCAAGGATTATGTGGAGTAAAATAAAGGTTGGATGTGAGAAGTGGGTTATAGTAAGCATTTATGCCCCTGGGGAAGAGAGAAGTATAGAGGAGAGAGAGAGATTTTGGGAAATGTTGAGTAATTGCATGGGGAGTTTTGAACCAAGTGTGAGAGTACTTGTGGTTGGGGATTTTAATGCTAAAGTGGGAAAAAATGTTGTGGAGAGAGTAGTAGGTAAATTTGGGGTGCCAGGGGTAAATGTAAATGGGGAGCCTTTAATTGAGCTATGTGTAGAAAGAGGTTTGGTAATAAGTAATACATATTTTATGAAAAAGAGGATAAATAAATATACAAGGTATGATGTAGCACGTAATGAAAGTAGTTTGTTAGATTATGTATTGGTAGATAAAAGGTTGATGGGTAGGCTCCAGGATGTACACATAGAGGAGCAACTGATATATTGGATCATTATCTAGTTGTAGCTACAGTTAGAGTAAGAGGTAGATGGGATAAGAGGAAAATGGCAACAAGTAAGAGGGAGGTGAAAGTGTATAAACTAAGGGAGGAGGAAGTTTGAGTGAAATCTAAGCAACTATTGGCAAAAAGGTGGGCTGGTGCAGGTATGAGTAGTGGGGGGGGGTTGAAGAGGGTTGGAATAGTTTTAAAAATGCAATATTAGAATGTGGGGCAGAAGTTTGTGGTTATAGGAGGGTGGGTGCAGGAGGAAAGAGGAGTGATTGATGGAATGAAGAAGCAAAGGGTGTGATAAAAGAGAAAAGGGTAGCTTATGA